TTACATAATTAATGACATTCCTGTAACATATTGTTCATATTAAGTCATAAGTTCTACTGTCTTTTTTCTAAATGAAATATCAAATTCTGCTGTCCTACATCCAAATTGAAACCACTCCCTAAATAGCAAAAGCAGAGTTAGTTTAAGCCAGTCTTAAGTCTGTGCTGCTGCAAGAGACAGTCATGTCGTGTTTCCACTTCTATTCCTGCTTTTGCCTCAGCATCCGTGCAGCCAGGCGGTGAGCTGGACCAGCGACCTGATGCCCCGAGGGGTAGTCCTCACCGTCGCAGTCTACAGGCGAATTTTTGGCTGGATCTATTTGATAGAGCCCTGATGCAGTTTGTGACTCGGCTGCCTGTAAGAGCTAGCGGCAGCATAAGGGAAGGGCGAGGTGAGGAGGAGAAAGGGGCAATCTCTTTAACGGCAGTAAGGACAGAGGATGGTTAAAAGAAGGGAGAAATTCTGTTTCTTCTTCCTCTCGTCCTGGCTGCCTCATCTTGCTCGCTCTCTTGGGCCATTTCTGGTGCACTGAGCCAGTTGAACTCATTAGTCCAGCAGAGAAACATGTACTTTTTGCCAGATTAATGAATTCAAGCTAGTACGGAGAGTAGCCTGCTATGCGCCAGAGCTGGCATGAGGTAACCATGGGGGATGGAGAGAACACAAAAATTCCTTTTTGATGGTTTTAAGTGGTTAGATTGATCTGCTCTATCTCAGTGAACTTCACTGTTAGGTGCAGGTTTTCTTTTTGAGGACTTACTGATTCATATGTTTTAATAACTTGGCCTTTGAAATGGGAAGCAGAGAAATCTCTGAGAGGCCTGGAGGTAAAAATTTGATGCTTTTCAGAGGTGTGCATACAGTGAAGTGGAAATTAGCTCTTTTATCCGGTTGTGTATTTTGCATCTCTGATGAATTCATGTTAGTGTATGACCTTTATATAATTTCTATATAAATTTTTTAGTACATCCTGTGTTGTATAGTGGGATTTACTTAAGCCTCTCAGACTGAAATCAACTCAATTACAAAAATAGATGTTTTCCAGTAATGCATCATTGCTGAGTACTCCCGCCAGCACTTTTCCCCCACTACGTTATGTGAAAGACCCTTACAAGCTGGGAACACTGTCCTATTCCATAAATATTTTTGGCCAAGAAATAGCCTGCTTTTAAGTTTGGAAGTCGAACCGTGACCATAACCTATTGATTTTTCTTTCTTTATATAAATCCTTTGAAGAAATGGTATTTTAAAGTAGTAACTAACGACGCCTTGTTTGTTTACTGGTTAGTATGTCTACCCACTTATCTTCTACTTGGAGTTGCATCTCAAGGCAATATGCCTTGAGTAACTGTAGTTACTGTCGCTGTGGTGTTTGTATACATGCACTTAGATACATCTAGCAGAGCTGCAGACACTGAGGATGATGCACAGAATTTGAAAACCTGTTGTAAATATCTGTTCCTAAGCTACTGGATCTTTTTAGTGGATTTTTTGTTTTG